TGATGCTTCTACTGCTGGCACTAAACATATCTTAGGAAGAGTGCCTAAGACAGTAATACAACAGACCTGATTCGTGCGTAAAATGAATAGCAAAAGCAAAATTACTAGTACAGCAGTTCTAACACTAGAGGCGCTGAAAATAAAGTCGAGAAGTAGGTCAAATTAGGACACGTAATTAACACAAGTGGCCAAAGGACTTCACAGTCCCGATAATTGTGTGTGCCACCAGTACCGATTCCGGAGATGTTGCAGTGAATATTACAGATCGTATCGTGAGGGCAGTGTCATAATCTTGAAACTCAAGCTCGTCACTGAGCACGGTATGAAATAAAATAGAGGGAAATTAATAAATATAACTTAATTGTGTAAATAAGTACCTAATGGGAGGATGCAGGAAATTTTAATGTTGGTGAGTTCTATGTTTTGTGTACTTCACTAGATACTAGTAGGGCGATTAAATAAAGGATAGAAAATTGGGTAAGTTATGTAATATGCATGGGAGTATGAGAAATGACAATTTTTGGTCCATGAATCTGGACGGAAGAGATTATTTGTGAGATCTAGGCGTAGACGTTAGGATAATATTAAGATGGATCCTAAAGAAATAGACTTGGAGGTTATGGACTTGATTAATCTGGCTAAAGTTCCAGCTAGTGGCAGGTTCTTGGAAATAGAATAATGAATCTGTGGGTTCTATAAAAGGTAGGGAATTTATTGACGAATTAAGCTCTATGGAATTTGTTGAGCAAAATATAATAGTATCTAACTTATTTGTTTGCTTATGGTTAATTATCGACGCTCTCAGTAACTAAGACTATATAGTACCCATTGTTAATTCTGTCTTACAGGATGTGTGACACTTATTTTAAACCTGCAGTGGTCCGCTGATGTATTTTATGCAGCCCTCGTTTTCGCATTATAATATTGTGCCACTTACTATGATGAAAAATAAAGCAAAACATGGTTTCTTCATGTCGCCAGTATTTGGTAGTACCTGTCGTGAGCAGCTGTTCTACTTAATCCAGAACGCCTAACCAAGAATTAGAACGCATATTACTGGTGACCACATGCTGGGATACGTTCGATACGCAAGAGAAATTATATTTGATATTGGAAGACATAAATGAGGGGAAGACATTGAAAATGACAGATGACAATCGGCAAAGGCGACTTTTTATACGACGATCCCTTAAACAGCCGTTTTATATAAACTTTAAGAAAAATATATTTATTTACCATTGTTTATCAAATAATTTGTACGCGTATGTGGGTTTAGAGGTTTTTCAGCGTCTGAGAAACTCTTTCGCCAGTATTAAATGTAATTTCAAAGTTATTAGCCATGTTACATTGGTCTCTTTTCAGCGTCCTCAGGCTTCGGATGTAGGAGACGGTTTCTAGGCTCTGAGGATAGCTGTGAATATGCTGAATGACGGCCGACAAGGGATGGTCGTGCCTCTCGTCGCTGTTAGTGTGAAGTGGTTACTCAAACCACAGGTTACCCAACGTTACCTACATTTTCGACTATTATACATCTCCTAGTTAAAAGCGACACAAAGCCTCCGCCATAGACTCTGCAGTCAAACATTTCTGCCCCCTCTTTGATTTAAGTTCACGATTCGTGTGCCTTAGTGAGTTGTGGTTCTGACACAGCTGATTTTTCGCATTATCAAAATCGCGTGGTACTATAGTAATTTTTAGGATTTTTTCGTCAATATTTATATATATATATTTTATACGGCGTATGGATTAAAGGGGAGTAGGTCCGCCATTTGAAGAAATATGAGTTTTCTACAAGAATTCTTTATGATAAGCACAGGTACAGTTTCATATCACTACTGTTACTGTTTTTTTTCCGGAGTTGTTTCAGAACATAGTGTTCTGGATTTTAACACGAAGAAGACAGAGGCAAAAAGTTTCTCTGAAACAATGGTTGGTAATCACTTAACAAACCTACACGATGTCATAATCCGAAGGGCCACACAAATAAGCTCTTCACCGCCTTGAAAACCTCTATTTGACTTGACGCATGTATATTTAGGCAAAGACACAGAATCGCTGACATGTTTCATGTAACATGTTGATGCCTGCAACTGAGACAAAGATTTGAAGTAGGAGCCCGAGATGAGATAAAATTGCCTGGGGTTGTGGGTTAATTTTAGAGATTTAAAAATAGGTAAACGTTATGCAGTGCTGCTAGTGTTTTTGTTTATTTTGTGAAATGGCGCTGTTAGCCAACAAATGAACGAACTTTGCAGTTCTCGCAGGCCTGTACCAAGCGATCAGTACTTATTGAGGCTCACATGAACACCTCCACAAATACTTCCTGCCGTGGGAGCGTGATAGAATAAATGGCAGGGCTCCAGCGCTCACCTGTCTTGCAAAAAGATACGAAACAGCTTCAGATATGTTTATACGTTTACATATGTAAAGCTTAGAATCTGGGACCGTATGTTTAGGATACTGTGATTGATAATATTCAGACATATCTATCTAAACTACAACAGTTTGAACATTGCCGTAATTTATTTCTGTCTTTGTTCTTTACTCAATTTTAATTTACTTTAAAACATTCTCGATTTCTCAAATTTTTTATGTACGTTTTTCTATCGATTGTGTCACCTGTGATTCGCGTAGACTGTAAGATTCTGTGTGGACAGTTTTCAGTTAATTCTGACTGAAGGCCTTGAAATTATTGGTGGGTGTCGTATACTTTAATTTATAGCCATTCTTATACTGGATAGAAGTTTCTTAAAATTCAAAATTTTCAATTGAATTGTCATTTTATTGAATATGGCTTTCTTCTGTGTTGTTGCGCCGTGTACTGTGGTATCAGTTTACCGACGTTTCAGAGGTCTTTGCTACCTCCATCATCAGGGCGATGTCATTTCATTGTTTAAAATCCGATTATTCTTATAAAACATCCATCCTGTGCAATATCATTCAGAATAAAAGTACTTACCATTGAGCCGGGTGCCACTGCGTAATTAGACATGAATATAAACTCTGCTTATTACCCGTAGGACTGCACGCCACTGTGTTGTCAGATGGGCTTGTGTACGAGGGCCTATTCTTCCGCATTACTGTGCATCATGCACGCTGTTGATACAAGAGTAAAACTTCATTTAACTGACGGGTTGCTGTCACTTACGGAATTTGCATAGTGGGGCTTTGGTTTCTGTTAGTCCATTGACCTTAGAAAATTCTATAAACACCAATAGGTTTCCCACTTTGCAGTAGCCCAAGACTTGTCAAAATATGTGTCGTGTATTTTTAAACTCTTACAGCACGCCAGACACACCACACTGCTGCCAACTGTAGCGATAACTGAAGGATTTTAGGGTACTCATACAATATCAGTATCCCCCAAAATGATCAGCTGGTAGGTCGATCAACTGTAGGGAGGTCTTGGGGTGGACCTGGTTGATTTGATTTGGAGAAGGAGTTCTCATGGCCTATCTAAAAAGATAATGTCCTCCATTCTGCAGGAGGGACCAAGTTATTTAATGACGGGTTTAAATCGCATCGTAAGTAAATATGTCGTCTAGTAATAGGATGTTAGGGAATTATGACGTGGAAAGAATGCAGAAAGGTGCCCTGTCGTTTGTTTTAGGTTTGTTCGACTATCAAAGCACTTACGTGCAGAGACGGAATGACACGAGAAATCTCAGTGACGATACACGTTCCTCGGATGAGACACCAACGAAATTCTTCCCGAATTAGCATCGTAACTGCTTGAATCAGACTGCTTCACTATTTCCAGTCGTCCTAACATTCTA